AGTTAAAGCCTTTCTTTTTTGTTTAAACGGAAAAAGGGGAAATGATGTGGGAATGATTTCTTACTAATAAAGAAACTGCCTTGGCCCATTTTATTGGATAGAAAATTAGGTAGGCGGAGTATACAGAAGAGAATTCTGGGAGAAAGAAGGTTAGAGGAGGAGTCGCCATGATGCTCCCACTCCAGACAGATGCAGGTTAAGATCCTCTCTGGTAAGCCAGCTCATGGGCTACACAGAATATTAGAAATGGGTTAGAACAATATGTAAGAGCTAGCCAATAAGAAACTGGACCTAGCCGGGCCAGGCAGTGTTTGAAAGAATACAGTTTCCGTGTAATTATTTCTGGGCATAAGCTAGCCATGCGGGCGGCCGGGTGCCGGGGATGCAGCCCTGCGGCTCCTATCTCAACAGAGTATGACCAAGACAACTCTTAAAAGGAAGGCATTTAATTGGAAGCTTGCTTATGATTTCAGAGGTTGGTCTATTATCCTGTGGGGGAGTATGGCAGCATGCATGGGGATGGAGAAGTGGCTGAGACGTATATCCTTTTAAATGGGGTTTGTGAGCAGACTGCTACAACTTGCTTAATGGCGACATAGACCTACTGTGTGCCTGAAAATGGAGCTATGAGGCTGGCTTGTGCAAAACAGACCTCCACCCCATCATGTTGGACTGGGTGGAGCCAAAAGACAAAGCAGTCTTAGTCTCTGCTTAGCATTTTAAGAAGTGCTCCTGTACAGAGAAGAATTACAGATGTACACTAAGGCAAATTCAGACATAAAGGACTTCTAAATGACACACAGTGTTTAAAAAATGTACATAGGCTTGGGAGAGAGAAGAAAAAGAGTAAAGAGACAGTAAATGTAATATCAAAGAGTATGGACAGTAATAGATTAAAGGTGTAAAGGTAATAAATTAAATATTAAACTTGTAGAAAAAGTAATAGAGTAAGAAAAATAATCCACATAAAGATGGAATGTACACATAGAGTCTGGATTATGTATACTATTGTGTTTTTGACTGTGAAGGAGCTAAGTTGCCAACATATATACTTTAAAGTTATTTTGTCTTCAAAATATGGGTCTAAGGATATGTTGCTTTGGAAAAGAGGTTCTTTTGTTTCCAAAGGGGATGAGAACCTATGGAATCCTTCCAGACAAATGTGGTTTGATGAACCAAGATCCCCTGAAAGGTTGCTGTAAACACCCCCCAAAAAATACTTTGCCAAACAAAAAGAGGAAGCAGTTTATAGAGGAACTATGCCCAATTATAGTCTATAAATGTTTGTTTATTTAAAAAGGGATATACTGTAGAGATTTACATGGGTATGGATCTTGGTTTATTGATACAAATTTAAAGTCAATTTTGTTATACTGCACATATATATATATCTACCATTGATTAAGGTATTATGATTGTGCAGCTCATTTAAAAAGTAATGTATAATTAAGAAATATTGGTAAATAGAGTATCATCTATAATAGTCAAGCTTGTAGTCATGTTAGTTAGATTTTTCTAGATGTACAGAGATGATTTTCAGATGGATAGAGATTCTTTAAATCTTTCAAAGACTAAAGAATATGGCATTTAAAGTATTTTAAGAATATAGGACTTTTCATGAAAATGAGACACATCTGCTTCTGGGAGCACCAATCTACTTCAAAAAGAAGATGGACATCGAAGAGGCTCCTTATGGAGTTGGTTAGCTGTTTGGGCAATAAACTGCTCTTGCCTGGACTTCTTGATGATATGCTATGTGAATTGGACATGCAGGGAGCACAGAGAAATGCCTGCTGAACTTGCCTAAAGGTGAGACAATCCTTTGGGCTTCCCACTTCATGAAAGAATAGAGTCTACAAGACACAGAAGAAAGTGACTGACAAACTGCCAATATTGGTGGAACTGTCTTTGAGATTTCCTGCTTCATGGAAAAGTCTGTTAGATACTATAGGCCTATAGGTTGAAGACGGATGCCCAATGGTACAAAAGAACTTTGGGTGACTCTCCAGGCAGCAAGATGTCTCTAGTTTTGAAAGTTGCTTACAATGAACATATTGTTTACTTAGGTAAGATTATATTCTTCTGGAGTCTTTGATGATGTTGAAGAATTGATAGTTATAATTTCCTTAGTTATGATAAAAGATAAAGTATATATAAATTTTGTAACTATAATCCTTGCTTGATACCCGTTTTTTATTTATTTGAATTTTTAGATATGTTAAAGTTAAAGCCTTCCTTTTTGTTTAAACAGAGAAGGAGAAATGGTGTAGGAGGTTCTTCTATGTGTTACTTTTATGGGTTAATGAATAAAGATACTGGCTTGGCCTATAGCAAGGTAGTAGAAAAGAGTTAGGTGGGGAAACCTAAACTGAATGCTGGGAGAAAGGAGGCAGTGCCAAAGAGAAGCTATGGAGGCACCATGAAGACAGACATGCTGAAACTTTGCTGGTAGGCCACAACCTAGTGGTGATGCACAGATTAATGAGGTGGGTTAAATTAAGATATATGAGTTAGCCACTAATGTGCTGGAGAGATGGCTCAGAGGTTAAGAGCACTGACTGCTCTTCCAGACGTCCTGAGTTCAATCCCCAGCAACCACACAGTGGCTCACAGCCATCTGTAATGAGATCTGGTGCCCTCTCTGGCCAGCAAGCATATAGACAGACAGAACACTGTATACATAATAAATAAATAAATCTTTAAAAAAAAGAGTTAGCCAATAAGAAGCTAGAGCTAATAGGCCAAGCAGTGTTTTATTAATACAGTTTATGTGTGGTTATTTCAGTCCTCGGTGTCCAGGACAAGTAAGCAGCCTCTTACAACACACCCTGCACTAATCCAAACAACAAGCAATACCCCCACAGCATTTTGAATGATAGAAGCTGCTGTGCTTACTGACTAACTTAAATTATTTATAAAAATGTGATCAGGCAAATATTAGGTATAATAAAGCAAAAAAAAATAGGATAGAAAGGAGGCATCAAAATATGTACCTAAATAAGAGTCAGTGCACACAGAATGCTTTTTGTTCAAATGGTCCTGTCTGAATGAGGTGATGGGATAGACTTTGTTGTCTTCCTAGGGGAGACCTTAACCTCTCTGAGGAGTAGATGGGAAAAAAGTGGTGGGAGCAGGAGTAGAGGATGGAAGTAAACCTGGGATTGGTTAATAATAATAATAATAATAATAATAATAATAATAATAATGTAACTTTCCTTTCTTACTAGTTAAAGTCTCACCATTTTTTCCATTCCCCCTAATAGCACCATTATCCTACTGTATACTCCTTCTCCTCCACTATGTATTTTGGGCTTTTTACTTCCCTGGTTGTTGTGTTAACTTCAGGTTCTGTTTATTCAAATCTAAAGATTCAGAACTATGATCCACAGTCAAAAGAGAATGTGTAATATTTGTGTGGGATACCTCACCAGCATAATATTTTCTAGGCCTATACATTTACCTGCTAAAACTTCTAAAAGTATTACCACTTTCACCTTAGTGACAGGATACAAAATCAACTTAGAAAACTAACATACTTTCCATATATTACTAACAAACAAAGAGAAAGAACAAACATGGACACAATCCTATTCATCGTAGCATTAAAAGTTATCTATGAAGAAACAATTTAAGTTGTAAAATTTTTTTGTCCTTGAAGACATCACACCTCAAAAGGAAAGAGATTAAGGAATGTACTGGAAAACGGAAAGGTCTTCCAGCACCATGGTTTGGTATGATTAACATTGTAAAAATGCCTATTCCAACAAAATTTAGAGATTCAGTATAATTTCAACCAAAATAGCCACGAGAGTCTTAACAAAAATAAAAAATTATATTAACACTTATATGACTCACAAGACACCACAGATAGTTTCCTGAGAAAATAATAATGCTGGGGGGTTTATATTTTCACATTCTAAGCTATGTTACACAGCTATGAGAAAAACAGTATGGTACTAGCAAAAACAAACACGTGGTCAATGGAATAAAACAGGAGACCCACATAGGAGTGTACAAGGCTACAGCCATGTGCTATTTGATAAAAATGATGAGCATACACAATGGAGGAAAGACAGTATCTTCATCAAATGGTGATGGCAAAATAATGTCCACTTATAGAGGAATGAAATTAGATCCATATTTGCCACCTTGAACAGAAGAACAGCTGCAAATGGATCAAAATCTTAATGCAAACCTGAATCCTGAAACTACTAGAAGAAAACACGCAGTATCCTTTGGGATACAGGAACAAGAAAGGACTTTCTGAATATGGTTCCATCCACACAGGAGTTAAGGATAATAATTGATGAACTGGATCTCATAAAACTAGAAATCTGTATAGCAAATGAAATACTCAAGTAAATATGAAGGCCACACGTTTTGGATCTTTGCCAGTTATACTTCTGTGAGGAGAATACTATGCAGAATATACAGGGAGCTCAAAAAACAACCTAATAACCAATCAAGAAGGCAAGTAGATCAAATGAAATGGGCAAGAGATCTACAGAAAAGATTCAGAAAGGCGAAATAAAAATGGCTGACAAAAATTGTTCAACCTTCTTAGAAACTGTAGAATTTCAAAGTAAAAGTGTTTGAAGATTTCATTTCACACCAGACAGAATGGCTTAGAACAAGAAAACAGCTGACAACGAACTCTTGAGAGGATGTTTGGATAAGGAAATCCGTCATCCACCTTTGCTGTGAGTGCAATCTAGAGCAATCAGAATGGAAAAAGGGGTAGAGAATTCTGAACATCTAAATGTACATGATCTTATGACCCAGCTAAATCACATATGCATATATGATGGAATATGTCTAAAGAGGCCAATATCCTACTTCACAGATAGTTTCTAACCATGTTCATTGCCGATCTCTTCAGAATAGTTAGGAAGGAAAACCACCTATGTCTTACCACTACAGAATGTTACTTGTCTGCAAGGAGACAATGTTCCTTCAACCACATCGCCTCATTACGTGTTATTGCTTCTAGATAGGACATGTTGACATCTCTTCCACACTCCATCCTGCTTGGCTAAAGTCCCAAAAAGAAACAGTGGAGCTAGGTCTTCAATTGTTGATCAAAGATTCCATTGTTGGGCTCTGTTTTATAAAGGGAATGGACTTGTCCCGTCACTCACTTGAGAACAGCTCCAGAGCCTCCTCCAAGATGCTGGCAGTTCTGTTCACAGCGACCTTGCTGGTCCTGAGCTCGGCTCAGACCCCCAGTGAAGGTATGAACTATTTTTTATAGGGAGGGAGCTGGAGACTTTCAAGAGAAAGAAGGGAGAAAAGAGACTAGAAAAAAGGGGAATGAGAACAGAATCAAGTGAGAAGAAAGACAGCTGAAGGGAATGCCTGTGATAAGGGTTAGAACAGTTTTATCCTAGGCACACAACATACTCTTTTTTTATTAAATATTCAATCTGAGACTAGAAAATACTATAACAGAGGATCATGGTATTCCATTTTGTGTTTAGAAAACTGCTCTATGACCCTAAAGAGGCATAGAAATGGTGGAGATTTATGCGTACATTCTGATAATCAGAGTGAATGTTGGGAGGAGCTAGCCTTGCTGAACAGAATATGCCAGACACATGATGTAGATGCGCACACAGGGATCAAAATTAGAGAATTATGGAATAAATTCAATGCTATAGATACTGAAGTACGAGAGTCATAGCCCAGTCTACAGAGTTTACTCTGATCCTCATTCCAAATTTTAATATGCTTCAGGCAGTACATGTTACTTTATATGATGTGTACTCCTTGATTTACCTCTTGAGAACACTAAGACTTAATGAAGAAACAAACTGGTGAGGCATGTTCTCAATGAGAATTGGAAATATGCCGCACACTTAAGAAAAGGGAGCAGTGTGTTTCGTTGATGTGCAGGGAGGACAATAAAGATTCTACATTTAGAGCGTGTGGGTAACAGCACAGGGAATCTGCACATGCTCACGCATCCCAGACTCTTTCACAAGTGTCTCACGGCTATCTGATGAGCTCAGTGGTACTCAGAAGCTTGAGACTGAAAGTCACATTTTCCCGCAGGACATCTGTAAGCCATGAAAGACTGTGATCTCAATTTTCATGTCTTCCTTTGCTTTATTCCTAGAGGTCGCCACTGAGGCTCCTACTGCTGCCCCTGCAGGTAAAGCAGAATCCATCTTCCAGGCTGCTTAATTGTCTGTGTTTCAGTGTCATCTTATCATATTTTCTGTCTTCAGAATGAGTGAATATTAGTTTCCCTAAAGATAGAAACTTATTTCCCAATGTTAATGCTGGGAACCATGACTGAACTCAACTAAATGAATGATAGAGAGACCAAGCTTCCTTAACAACAGCAGAAATTTGTCTGCCTCCCATCCAGAAATGAGCACTGTGAGATGAGGCAGAAACCAAAAGTTTCTTAATGCTGACTCTTCGGTTTTGAGAGGATCTGTGGTTCCCTTATTTCTCAGTGTTCCTGTCTACAATTAATTACACAACCATAAACCATATGGAGAAATATTTGTCTTTCCCTGTGGTCTGTTTGCTGTTTTCCCCGCTAACTAGGTAACTGTCTTTGATTTAAAAAGAAATGACATTGTTTTCAGGCATTTAGAGAATTTGTTGGATATCATTTTGTTCTTATCTGCTGTTGGGGTTCCATGTGTAGATGTAATATACAAGTCAAATTTCAATCTAGGGCCCTAAAACCAGAGCTGGAACCCCTTGCAGATGTAGAGAGTTCACAACATGTCCTTAACAATTGACAACTTTCCCTTTGTCTACCTATTCTAATTCTGCATTATTGCCATTTTGTCTCCAGAGACAATGCATGAGATAAATAAGGGTCCCCAAATGTTCATGTTTTCGTCATAGCACATACTTATCCCAAGTTAGAAACACAAAACCTTCTGTTTCATTGGGATGTATATCTAGAAAGCCAAGCAACAAGGATGCATGGACAAAGGAGTTAGTAGCTTGCAGACAGGATCTGGGAAAAATGATTGTGTGATTATGTCAGAGGAATAAAAAAAACAAAAAGGAATTCTTTGACCAGTGTGCTCCCATTGTCTGGCCCTACCCATCCAGATCCTGCAGAACAAAGCCAGAGCGAGGTCCCAGAGGCCTCTGCTGATGAAAACAGTGACCCAGAGAATGAGCCTGAGCCAGAAGGGGAACAAGTGTCCTCTGCTGATGAAGCGAATGAAGTGACTGAAACACAACAAGAACCAGAAGCAGAAGAGCCTCAAGACCAACCTTCCTCTCCTCCTGAAAACCCACAAGAACCACCCCAAGAAGAAGACTCCCCGCAAGACTCTTCTCCTCCTGTGAATGACCATAAACCTCATAATTGGAGTCGTTTTGGTCCTTATGGTCCTTTCGGTCCTTTCAAGAAATTTCATCCTCCTTCTTTTGACTTTGGAAGACTACGGCAATTCTTTAACAGAAGATGGGTGGCAGCAAATTAATTACTCTGTAGCTGACCGTTTTAAGTAGTTATAGGTAAGTTGCTTTTGAGCCTAATGATCTGAGTAATCCAGCTGTCAATAACAGGTATGAGTCAAATTACTAAGCACAAAGTCCTTTTCCTTTTGTATTTCTCAAATCATAATGTGAAAATTATTTAACTGGAGTGACACCATCTATGGCCTCATATATAATCTTTGCATTCAGATAGTATAGGATGGTATATGTGTGTTGGTATAGGAAGATCACGGAGAATCATTCCAATGTACTTCAGCTTTGAGGAACATAGTTCCCCAGTTCCTATTTTCTCAAATAATACATATTGAGTAGCATTGGTCTGTAGATGTACAGTAACAACTTCTCATTGTTTTCTGTGTTGAACCTCAGGAATTTCTCATCTGCAGCCTGTACACTCCGTCCCACTCACACCAGGGATGCTCAGATCCATTGTCTCTAAGTAATAATACAGAGATACCTCTGAGCTTGTCCAGACATTTAGTGCATTTTTTCTAAATTTGTGTATGTCCAAACTCCTCATAATCTTTTTTTTTTTTTCCTAGGATGGCACATGTCTGAATATTAAGATTCTAAATTATCTGAAATTTCCATTATTGTCCTTGAAAGCCACTAGTTTTAATCCTTTGGCAATCCTCTTAGAAATATTACTTTGTGTATGTGTGGTTTTATACAAAGTAACAGTAAATTTTACATGAATGATATTCTATGCAGATCTTAAGGTTATTTATTTAAAAGTCACATATCTTGGAAAACTGCATTGCTTCATACAAGCATATTACATGGATCCCCTTACAGCATGTTACAGTGGTTTTATTGTGTATGTCTTGCTGTGTAATCAGGACTTTTTGCATGTTAACATTGTACTCCAGTGCATTGCATGATCTGCCTTGACCTCCTTATTTGCCATTCTGTTAATAGACGTTTAGGATGGTTTCAGTTTTCCATTCATTCAGGGTGCATTTCCGTGGAAGTATGTACTGAAACCTTTCAAATCAGAACCCAAGGAAGAGCAAGCTAGGAAACATTGTTCATTTTCATAGCGTTATAAACAACTCAGTTGTACTGTCTGCTCTGTGGCTGATATGTGCAAACCTGAGAAAATGAGGAAGGGGGAGAAGGAGTTGAGGGAGAAGAGGGTGTAATCTCTCACCTCTCTTGCTTCAGTGGTTACAGTAGCATTTGAATCTCCCAAATGCCCCAATTTTTCACTAACGTTCCTCCTTTTTATCTGTTTCAGAGAGTGCCAGAGAAGATGATGTTCTTCAGACAAACAGGCCAATGAACCATTGTTGACTGTCTACCTGACCTCAATAAAATTTTCAGCATGCAATTTCTGAGTGTTGCCTGTACTTCTTAGTATTGGGTCAGGGTAGGTGGGTGGAAGCACCTAGAATTTGAGTGCTGCAGTTACAACATAAAACACCCAAAACAGCACACCATGAATACTGGAAAAGCTATGTATCTCTCTTGTCCACAACCCGATAGCCACTGAAAACATTGTATGCCCCTGTCTCCCCATGCTTTTTGCGTGGACTCAGCAGTGCAAATTCTTTCTTTAATAAATGATGTCAAGGTCTCACTGGTACCCTTTCTAGTTCAAAGGCAAGTGTGAAGATTAAATGTGAGGCAGTTGCAAAACCACAGGCATTCTTACCCTTCCCCAGTTCACCAGCCTGGTTTCTGTGCTGCTAGCTCCAGCTTGCATTTTCTGTTCTGTTTCATTGTGTCTGAAATAAGTGTTCAACAATTTCTCAGTCTTACTAAAAAGTCAGTATTCAATTACACAACTGTTTCATAAATGATAAATGTGTCCTTTTAAACTTAGTTCTATTGATCTGAATCTGAATAAGTGATAAATAAGACATCTTTTATTTTGTAAGACTCCCTTCATCTCTTTTTTTCTTACAATTAATGCTCTTAAAAGAAATCATTTTCTGTCCATTTCTTTTTAAAAATATTTTATTGCTTTATAATATTACCATTAAAAATATCCACCTCTTCCTTTCCTCCCATTTTCCCCGTGTTCCCCCACTCACTCTCCCCCACCCCCTTCACTCCTAAGAGTGGGCAGGATACCCTGCCCTGGGTGAAGTCCAAGGCCCTCCCGCCTCCATCCAGGCCTAGTAAGGTATGCATCCAAACTGACTAGGATCCCAAAAAGCCAGTACATGCAGTAGAATCAAATCCCAGTGCCATTATCATTGGCTTCTCAGTCATCCCCAGTTGTCAGCCACATTCTGAGACGGTTTGATCACATGCTTGTTCAGTTCCAGTCCATCTGTTCTTGGTTAGCTCCCATTAGATCAGTCACACTATTTCAGTGGGTAGACCAACCCCTTGCAGGCCTGACTTCCTTGCTCATCTTCTCCCTCCTTCTGCTCTTCAACTAGACCTTGGGAGTGCTGGCATAACTGGATGTCAACCTGTAGAAGAATGAAAATAGATCCATATCTGTCACCATGCACAAAACTCAAGTCCAAATGGATTAAAGACCTCAATATAAATCTGACCACATTGAACCTGATAGAAGAGAGAGTGGGAAGTAGTCTGCAACACATGAGCACAGGAGACCACTTCCTACATATAACCCCAGTAGCATAGACAATAAGAGCAACATGAATAAATGGGACCTCCTGAAACTGAGAAGCCTCTGTAAAGCAAATGACACTGTCATTAAGACAAAAAGGCAACCTAGTGAATGGGAGAAGATTTTCACCAACCCCGTATCAGATAAAGGCCTCATCTCCAAAATATATAAAGAATTCAAGAAACTAGACATTAACACTTAAATAACACAATTAAAAATGGTGTACTGAACTAAACAGAGGATTTTCAACAGAAGAAGTTCAAATGGCCAAAAGATACTTAAGGTCATGTTCAACTTCATTCCTGGTGGGAATGCAAACTTGTGCAACCAGTTTGGAAATCAGTGTGGTGGTTTCTCAGGAAACTGGGAGTCAACCTACCTCAGGATCCAGCAATATCTCTTGGGAATACACCCAAGAGATACCCAATCATACTGACCATTTCTTTTCTGAGGCATTTCCTAAAATTTAGCTTCTTCCTATGTCTTCCTGTGGTGTAGATTGATGCTACTTTTGTACTGATGATATATTTTATCCAGACACGGTTTTTCAGTTCATGTGGCCCTTGTGGAACAATCTCTCTTGACCATGCTGGCCTCAAATGTAGTGACCCCCTGCCTCCTGCATGCTGGGATAAGGTGTGTGCTAGCACTTGCCAGCTATGGATGATGTGATTCTTACTAGTTGCATTTGAGATAGTGTCTTTGGAAGCCCAGCCTGGTCTTAAGCTCACCTGCAGAAAACCTTGGACTTCCGATCCTCTGGCCTCTAGCTCTGCAGTGCTGGACTGACACATTTGCTCACTCTGCTGCTCTGGGGAGTGGGTGTAGTGCTCCATGTGTACTAGGAAGCCTAGAGCTACATCGCCAGGCCATGATGTTCCTATTGATTGGCCATTTCTACATGAGATGAATACATTACTGGTCAAAGTAAGAGCACTGTCTTTCAGTGATGGTCAGGAGGACAACCTCTGCTGTTTTCTCCCTTCAGATAATGCCTCACGTGGTCCTTGATGACAACATCCACATCTTTACTGTGTTCTGTATTCTAGGATACAATTCTGGCAAGAATCACAGTGTTTTGATTTGAAAACGTGGTGGTTTTATATTTTTCTCCTTTGTGGAAGTTGATTCCGTATTCTGACTAATTTTGTGAATTTCTAATATCTGAAAAACATGATGGGCAACTTCTGGCCTCTTGAAAACACAGCTCTTTTGGGAAAGTTGGCTCTAAATGTAATTTTGTGCAGGCAGCAGATCCCTTCAGCATCCAATACCAGGTTAAACCCTGGTAGGAAGTCAATTTCACCATGAATTGAAAATCACCTGTGCAATTAATTAGGGGGTGAGGATTTCACTTGGCAATTTGATTCTGTCTAGACACATAATATCCACATCTGAGACAGGGCCAATGTGATATATTGCAATACCACAGCATTAGGAATCATCTGCCACCAGGTCCTAAGCTCCAGTGTCCCGTTAAGGCAAAATTTGGAGTCTTCAAAACAAAAGGACATTTTACACAAGTACACAAATGAACAGAAAGAACAGTGCAATCAGCTCCCCTATCTAGTTTCAGACCTTTGAGGACTTAAGCATCCCTCTCTTTGTGCTTTTTGTTTGTTGGCTTGTATCAGAATCTTACTCTTGTTGACTTGAAATGCAATATATGTTGACCAAGCTGTGATTTTACTGATAACTTGAATTGCAGGCAGGTGTAGTGATGGGGCGAGCAAGCCTGCTTTTCATCCTGTCTGGCTCCCGCATGGTTAGCTTTACACCCAAAATAACAATACACAAATTGTATTCATTTAAACACTGCCTGGCCCATTAGCCCTAGCCTCTTACTGGCTAATTCTCTCATCTTGGTTAACCCATTTCTCTTAATGTGTGTAGCACCACGAGATATTGGCTTACCGGGAGATTCTAACCCATGTCTATCTTGGGCCAGAGCTTTATGGTGGTTGCCTCATTGCCTTCTATCCAGTATCCTGTTCTGTTTACTCCGCCTACCTAATTTTCTGTCCTATCAAAGGGCCAAGGCAGTTTCTTTATTAACCAATGAAAGTAACACATAGACAGATGACCCCCCTCCATCAAGCAGGCAGCACTAAGCATGGAATGCCTTTTCCTTCTCATTCTTTATCTCCCTCCTCTTTCTTTCTTTCTTTCTTTCTTTCTTTCTTTCTTTCTTTCTTTCTTTCTCTCTCTCTCTCTCTCTCTCTCTCTTTCTTTCTTTCTTTCTTTCTTTCTTTCTTTCTTTCTTTCTTTCTTTCTTTCTTTCTTTCCCCCATCTCTGTGATCTTTTGTAACTTCAGCTAAGAAAAGAAATTTACATATTTTTTATTACTTTATAAATAATGATAATCAAAATTCTCACTTGCCTCCCCTCCTCCCTCATCTCTCCCACTCCTCCCTCCCTTCTCCCCTCAACCCCTCTGGTCCTAAAAGAGGACAAGGTACCCTACCCTGTGGAAAGTCCAAGGCCCTCCCCCCTACATCAAGGCATAGGATTGTATGCATCAAAAGAGAATAGGATCCCAAAATGCTAGTACATGCAGTAGAGACAAATCCCAGTGCCATTATCAGTGGCCCCTCTGTCTGCCCCCACTGTCAACCACATTCAGAGGGCCCATTTGATCCCAAGCATGTTTATTCCTCTTCCAGCTGGATTTTGTGAGCTCCCACTAGATCAAGTACACTGTCTCAGTGGGTGAACCAAGCCCTTGTGATCCTGACTTCATTGTTCATATTTTCTCTCCTTCTCCTCTTCAACTGGAACTTGGGAGCTCAGTCTAGTGCTCCAATGTAGGGCTCTGTCTCTGTCTACATCCATAGCCAGACAAAGGTTCTATGGTGATATTCAAGACAGTCATCAGTTTGAATACGGGTCAAGACCAGTTCAGGCACCCTCTCCTCCACTACCCAGTAGAAAACACTACCCTGAGCAATATAACCCAGATACAAAAATATGAATATGGTATTTACTCACTCATTAGTGGATTCTAGCCATAAACAAAGGATATTGAGCCTATAGTTCATGATACCAGAAAAGCTAAATAATAAGGTGAACCCAAAGTAAAACATATATCGATTCTCTTGGAAATTGGAAGCAAACAAGATTGTCAGAAAGAAGTTGGGAGCTGGGGGTGGGTGGGGGTAGAGAAAAGGGGAAAAGGGGAGAGAGGAAATGGGGAAGGGTTGGGGACAGCTTAGGGGTGTAGAATGGCTGAGATGGAGGAAGGATGGATATTGGAGCAGGGAAGTTCTGGTAGATTTCCGCATTGAAACCATCTGGTCCTGGGCTTTTTTTGGTAGGGAGGTTTTTGATAACTGCTTCTAATTCTTCGCGACTAACAGGTCTATTTAGATTGTTCACCTGTTCCTGGTTTAACTTTGGTATATGGTATTTATCTAAAAACGTGTCCATTTCTTTTAGATTTTCTAGTTTTGTGGCATACAGGCTTTTGTGGTAAGATCTAATGATTCTCTGAATTTCCTCTGTGTCTGTGGTTATGTCCCCCTTTTCATTTCTGATCTTATTAATTTGCAAATTCTCTCTCTGCCGTTTGATTAATTTGGATAGGGGTTTATCAATCTTGTTGATTTTCTCCAGGAACCAGCTTTTTGTTTCATTGATTTTTTTTTGGATTGTTTTCTGTGTTTCTATTTTTGTTGATTTCAGCCCTCAGTTTGATTATTTCCAGTCTTCTACTCCTCCTAGGTGAGTCTGCTTCTTCTTTTCT